ATCAATATCACTACAGGGATGTAATACATAGTGAATAGTGATCAGTTTTCTTGTTTTTTGGTCCAAACTGTCCAGTTCAACTTGTGTCCAGTTAATAATTCCAGCAGTGTATTGTATCACAGTTATGGACCAGGTATTGATGGCTTTGATGGTATTTCCACTGTTCAATTTTGTCTTTAGCAATTTTCTCACTCGTTGGATGCATTCTTTACTAATCACTTTTTTAACTTGTCCATGCTTGATGTTATCCACATGTAAAATGCTTGTAGGCTTCATCCTGATGGCTCCTGATGGTTTGGCCATTTGGCATTTCAGTTCCATTACTGTTCATAATTTTACCCCAATTTATTGCTACTGTAGCACATTTCTCTAGGCCAAATTCCATTGCTTTATGTGTGTAAAAATTCTTACAGTATTTGTCAATGACTGGATTTCGATTTCTGATTTTCCATAAAGCTTCAAATCATCCATATGAAGCAAATGTGAGATTTTATTAGCATTTTTTGCTGTTTGACAGCCAAGATTTGTTTTCTTCAAAATCACTGAAAGTGGGATCATAGCAATGACAAATAATAAGAGTGATAATGAATCACTCTGGAAGATGCCTCTCCTAATGTTGACAAGCCCATATATTTCATTTCCAACCACCAATTCTGTTTTTCACTGCTTCATTATTTTTTCTATAAACATTCTAATGTTTTTACTGACACCAGTTGTTTCCAAACATTTGATGATCCAACTACATGGTAATGAATCAAATGCCTTTTTATAATCAATCCAGACCATACAGTATGTAAATTGGTTTTTCAGCTTTTGCAATTCTGCAAAACCATTTTATCAATCAGAAGTTGGTCTTTTGTACCTCTGTTTTCCCTTCTGTTTCCTTTCTGTTCTACTGGAAGGATGTTATGATCTTCTAAATAATCTTGGATGTTGTCCGCTATTATGCCTGTGAGTGATTTAAACATTGTAGGCAAGCATGTTATCAGCCTATAGTTTCCTGGTGTTGTCCCTTTCGTTGGGTCTTTTTGAATCAGATATGTTTTGCCAGTTATTAACCAGTCGCTAATGTCTCTTTTATGCAATACTTTATTAAGCTGTTTAGCTATAATTGGATGTAAGCTAGTCAGATATTTGAGCCAAAAGCCAAAACTCAACATTTCCAGATGACCAATTTTTAATCCTTTTCACTTGATTTTTTACCATCTCTGCTATTATTATTAGTTTTTCCATTTGATTTTTCTAAATTCATCTTCAAATTCTTTTATCCATCCAGCATTTTTATTGTAGTATTTCTGAGTTTCCCATAGATCTTTCCAAAACTGGATTGTTTCCTTTTTGTTTGGTTTTCCATTTTCAGAATTTCTATTGCCATTTTACAGAGGTAAAATTGCCTCTGGTTTCATTGAAATAGCTGATTTTGCTTAAATTGGATGATTTGTGCCCCATAGCATTCATTTTTCCCAGCTATTGCTGATATTTGTTGCTTTATGATTTCCAAAGCTTCTTCAATTTTTATGGTGCTAAGCCAATATATTTTTTATTAGGCTTGTCTTGATTCTTACATTCTTCAATTGTTGCTTTTTCATGTTCTTTAAATTACTCACATCTGATCTTAATTTCTTTATCTTGGCCTCCAGTCTGATATTCCACTTTGGAATTTAATATGATTTTGCTTTTGGTTTTCTAATTTCAGTACCCAGTTCTTCTGGGCACTACTTTCAGTGCTAGCAGCCTTTGTCTTTCTACTGGTAATTCTGCATATGCCATAATTTTCTCTTTTAATTCTTCTTGTCGGAGGGTCAGTTCATAGGTTGTTTCAGTGCTGGCCTATACTGTTCTGTTATTATTACTTCTAAATTATCTTTTCCGTAGTTCATATCAGCTGTTTCCTCTATATTTCCAATTGTTGTTATCTGAGTTTCTTCTACTATTCTACTATTGTTTCTGAGTCTTCCATTCTAACAATTTTTCTGAATCTCTTCCAGTCCTTCATCCCTGAATATTTTATTTCTGGTAATGAATCTCCTTTGATTTGCTAATTGTTGTTCAGTGATATCTGAGTCTGGATACATTCTTTTCTACAGTTCAAACGTTCCCTTTAAATAGCACCGCTTTGTTGGTTCCGATTTATAATAGCAGGCCATAATGGCACGGTTCACAAACACAGTATAGTTTTGTCTTGCCTGTGGTGGTTGTTCTTCCAGTAATCCTACAGGGCTAAGCCCTGGTTGCCCAGTTCCTGAGTCCCATTGCCCACTTGTCAACAGATACCCAGGAACTCTAACACCAGAAGCGGTCCTTGTTGACCTGGGCGATGACCGATCCAGTATAGGATTCTTTTTCTGTTTTCTCACCATAGCAAATGAGTTGATCGATGTACTTAGTCTGGCTCTTCTGCTAAGACCTGTCTGGTATGGGTGACCCTTCTGGTAGAACACACTACTGCCAGCATAGCTCTCAACCTCATCAGAGCATCACAAGCCCCAAACCACAAGGGGGTATCCTTGGAGTGGATTATTATTATGGTTGGTCGCACGGTTGCCAGTTATTTAGACTGGATTTGGCATTTTTATCCACCTATCAAGTTGCTGTTGTTGTTGTTGTTATTATTTTGGTGCCTTCAAGTCAGTGTTGACTCCTGGCAATTGCCTGAACGAGTTCCTGCAGTTTTCTTGGCAAGATTTCAGAAGTGGTTTGCCATTTGCCATTGCCTGCTTCCTAGGGCTGAGAGAGAGTGACTGGCCCAAAGTCACCCAACTGGCTTTGTACCTAAGGCAGGATTAGAACTCATGGTCTCCCAGTTTCTAGTCTGGTGCCTTAACCACTACAGCAAACTGGCTGCTTTTTATGATAACTATTAATATTATTTAGGTACAGAATAACATTATAATGATGTCCTTTTATTATGTTAACCCCCACAATTCTGAAAGAGAATTATTGTTATTCCCAGTGAATAGGGTTTCTATATGGTGCAGATTCTGACCATTTTATTGGATCGTTGTTTGCCCAAATTCCTAGCTTCCATTTAAAATTAGATGTTACTAGGCTTCCCATTGGTCTGGCTGGCCATTGTGGGGACAAAATATCAGTTTAGGTAGACCTCTAGGCTGAGTTTATATTATGGTTTTTTTTATACACACCCCACCCCCACAATTTTGGAACAGCTTTCAGTTTGCATCACTCAAATTTAGTTGTTTCCTCCAACTTCCTTTCAATCCAATTTCCTCACCCTCCTAAAGGAACTGTCGCTAAACCCCACAATTTTGGACAGTTTTTGACCTGTCTCCAACCTTCCCTTTTTTTAGGGAAGATTGTTGAGAAGGTGGTTGCACTGCAGCTGCAGAGAACTCTAAAGGAAACAGATTATCTAGACCTCTTTCAGTCAGGTTTCAGACCTGGGCATAGGACCAAAACTGTATTGATTATGCTTGTGGATGACCTCTGGCAGGAGCAGGATGGAGGTAATGCATCCATCTTGGTTGGCCTTGATCTCTCAGGGGCATTGATCATGGTGTTGTTCTGAACCAGCTCTGGGGATTATGAACTGGGGGCAGAATCTTGTTTTGGTTCTCTTCCTTCCTCTGGGATCAGTTCCAGTTGGTGTTAATGAGAGAGGGAGAAATTGAGCTCACATCCCCTTTTTTGTGGAGTTCTTTAGGGTTCAACACTCTGACCAGTCCTATTTAACATCTGCATGAAGCCAATGGATGAGGTCATCTGACAGAATAGGTACATTTCTGTCCTGGGCTATGGAGGTTCTCTCTGTGTCTGGGTGAAGAAGAACAGGCGTCAACTCAACCCAAGCAAGACTGAATGGCTCTGGACTTTAGGCTGTCTAGAATCCAAAGATTTTCCATCTATAGTTCTGGATGGAGTTGCATTGCCTCAGACAGAACTGATGTGCAATTTGGGGGTTCTCCTATACTCATGGAGTAGGTGGCGGCCCTGACCAGGAGGGCTTTTCCACAACTTCATGTTGTGCACCAATTGTGCCCTTTCCTGGATCAGGAGGAACTGTACATGGTCACTCATGCTTTGGTCATCTCCCAGTGGATTACTGCAACAGGTTCTACATGGAGCTGTCCTTTCTTCGAAGGAAAGCTGCAATTGGCAGCATGAGCAATTATGGACATGCCTTAGAACACCCATGTTACATATTTGCTTTGCAAGCTGAATTGGCTCCCAGGAGGCTTTTGGGTGCAATTCAGGGTGCTGATTGGTACCTACAAAGCCCTTCATGGCATAGAGTCAGGATATTTCTCCAATTGTCCCTACCTGCCCCATCAGAGCTGGCAGAATGAGCGTGCTCCAGATCCTGTTGATCAAAGAGTGTCACCTGACAGGACCCAGGAAACATGTGTTCTCTGTAACAGTGCCAGCCTTTTGGAACCCCATTCCTCCTGAGATTAGATTAGCCCCAGATTTGCTGGAGTTCTGGACATGACTTTTCTCTCAGGCATAGGATTTGGAAGATGGTGAAGCTTGTGAGTTGTATGAATTTGTTGCTTGTCTGTTTATCCTTGGCGGCCATATTTTTTTCTTTTGACGTGTTTTTATTTTTTGTACTGGTTTTTATTGTGTTAGCTTCCCACAGTTAAAGCCCATCGATGGCAGCCATATAAATCCAATAAATAAATAAATGTAATCTAGTGCTCAATTTTGAGTTGAAGTTTTGAGCTCCATCAATATATATGCAAATGAGCTGCATTTTAAAATGTTTAAAAAACTAAAAAATTGTGTGCTTAATATACAAATAAGACTGCCCATATCTGGGGTATTAAAATATAGCATACTTATCTGTGACCAGAAACAGGCTGAAAAAGAACTATTTCCCCAGTCATTCAATGAATCTATGGCATCAGTGGAATTTTAAGCCCAGGTTAAAAATTGATGCACAACTTTATATTAAATATTTTGTATCACTCCACTAGGCAGACAAAGTATTACAAATGCAATCATAAATTAAAAGTAACTTTTATTAAAATATTAAAGTCAAGTAAGGAGAATATGATTAACAGCACATTTTATCATACAGCATATATCAAATGAACTATATAACAGATTGTCTGAAATCAAATAATCTTTTGCCAGCATTGGCTTAAGAAATTTTTAAAGAGCCAACATAAAGACCATATAAATCTATGTTGCTTAATAAACACTCAACGGTACTAAAAATCTTTATTTAGCATATTACAAAGACTGGAGGTATTTATCCCAATCTGGAATAATCTGGAATATTAAGGAACATATCTAGATGACATCATCCTTTACTGCAGGCTGCATAGTTTATGGTGTTAAATGGGAATCTGTATCCACAGAAACTATAATGAACGTGTATAAGATTTTGAGAAATGATTCTTTATTTGAACTGGACTCCACACTACGACAGTTTGACCTATGGAATGAAATCAGCATGGTCTTCATTTGGCCTGCAGGTTTTCCATGTGCTGATACTATTATTACAATCATTATTAGTAGTGTTACTGCCCACTGCAGTTAGCATACTGCAATCCAAAAAAGGAGAAGAGCCACATCTGAATGATAAAGAACATGTTTTAAATTTTAAAAGACCTAAATTAAATCCTTGGCATGTCAGGTTGGCCTTGAATAGGCTCCTGTTCAAAACCTGAAAAAGTGCTGCCCATCGGCACAGATAATTCCAAGTTGACAAGATGTTTGACCTGGTATAAGGCAGCTAGTTGGGAAGATCTGATTTGATTTTAATATTCATAGTTCAAACATTCATCAAGCTCATTCTCTGCTGAATTCCCACTTTTTAAATGGAAATAAAATAGTTAAGAAATTGATGGTGGGTATTGCTCATCATAGTTTTAGTCTCTCTGAAAAACAGCCTGGTTTGCACAACACGAGGCTAGAAGGCGATTGGCCAGTTTGTGACTCAGCGTGTTGTGCGAACCTAACCTGCATGGTTGATTTACGATTCACTGTAGTGTTCCATCAGGCAATTTGGTTAATTCATAAGCCATTATTGTATAAGCTATGGCTAGTCTACTGTGCAAACAAGTCAAAGACAGTTCATGAAATTTAACTGACAAAATCTAATTATCACATACTTAAAAACAAATAGGATTCTTTTATTACAAAACACAAATAGAGAACAATAGAAATGTTGAACACATACCACTGATAGAAAAATTGACATTAAAGACCTTCACTTAAAATGTATTAACCTAGAATATATCATGTTTCTAGAAAGGGTTACTTTTAGACTAACTTACTATATGGGAGAAACCTTGAGGAAAAGCATGCACCATCAGTAATGTGTTTTCACAGATAACATTTTTAATTTCAGGGTGAATCATAGGATAGTGCATAAAAGCTTCTTCTCCCGGAAGGGATTTTCAGATGCGGGCACCGGTATAATAAGGGGATCTTCTCCCATGTGAGCATCACAATATGCCAATAAATCAGCAGCTGCCTTGGATACCTAGGAGCATTAGAAGAAGAAGAAGAAGAAGAAGAAGAAGAAGAAGAAGAAGAAGAAGAAGAAGAAGAAGAAGAAGAAGAAGAAGAA